GCCATTTATTATGCGGTATGAATTTGTGGAAAGTTGGTAGGGCAGAGGTTGGTTTGTCTGAGGAACTCGCATAGAAGGGGCTGTACATGGAATCTTAGTCCGGTTTCTACAATGGAAAGAAGTGTAAAGGGAACAAAACCAGGGTTTCCCCAGGGTACGGTATCTAGTTCGGCTAAAGTGAGATGAACATCATCAGGGATATGGTAGTCCCTTCGGAACTCGGCCATAGCACCTGGTGAGTTCACTAAAAACCTATATTTACCCATAAGGATTTAAATTATGTATAAATTAGCCTAGAATATTAGCTCGGCGCTAAGCAGTTATTGGGTATCTCGGTTGGACGTGCAAGGGAGTGCCTGGCCAACCTAATCAAAGTCTGCAAAGTGAAAAAGAAAGGTGTTAAACACAAATTGTTGGACCGTGCTAAAAGAAACAAAGGCAGAGATAAATGAAGTCCTAGCTCGGTTACGTGGGCCATTATGCATATAAAGCTTGGTTTGAGAGAGGGCCTTTAGCCCGGTTGAACTTTTGGGGCAGCATTCTTAGTTCGGTTTTAACTAAGGGAGCTGGTTTAGCTCCAAGTCATGGTTCAGTCGGTGGTTAAGGCTATTGGGGCAGCAATCTTAGCTCGATTTTTTACTAAGGAAGCTAGTTTAGCCTCAAGTTTTAGCTCGGTCGGTGATGGTGGCTTTCTAGTACGGCAGTGTGCAAACCTAATCTAATTCGCTAGCTCGGCTAAATAAAGCAAAAGGTTCTTAGACCTACTTGAAACAGCAAGTGTTCATAAAGTCTTAGCCCGGTTGTTTTGCTAAGGCTTACACCTACTACAAACCACTTCCTAGTTCGGTTGGAGTATGACTTCAGATCTAAGACGTCCCAGTTCAGTTTTTTCGCAAAATTAGTAGTGATGGGTACTATTCAAGTTGTTCTTACTCGTTACAGAGAAAACTATTTTGAAAAGTGTTGTGAGAAAACACGTATATAGAAATAGTACATGTAACCAGTCAAACGGAAAACAAAAAAAGGATTGAGTTACTTACAGATTGGAGAAGGAAGGATGTAGGTCTGAAACCACGAAGGTGATGTTGAAGATACAAGCTTCGCAGGTGCAAAAGTGGCAGCAATGGTGGTTCAAGCAAGAAAAAGAGAGAAGATGAATAGTAGAACGTGATAGATTCAAAATGAGTGGTTTTTTGTGTGAAGAAGGGGAAATTGGGCGGGACTGTTCAAATTACATGAAACACGAAGACGGCGTGACAGCTGCATTAGGCTAATGATAATATGCCACGTGTCCGTGGAATGGGAAGTGACTCAGTTTTAGTACGATTGAAGAGACGTTTTGACCGGACAGATTGGTAGCACGATGTGAATTTAGCTCGGTTAGAAGGCTAAAGTTTTTTAGCTCGGTTGAAAGGCTAGTCTTTTAGTTCGGCCGAAAACAAGTAATCTCTATCATGCTGCGCAGATGGAATTAAGGGCCAATTGAGAGAGTAATTTATATGTAAATTGGGCCGAGCTGGGTAATGGGCCATTCTGTGGGCCATAGTAAGAAGGGCTGAGTAAAAAGGGCCTTGTAATTAGTCTGGTCCAAAGGAGCCTTGTAGATAGCCCGGTCCGAAGGAACTTGGTGGTTAGCTTGGTCACCACGGTTTGCGCGGTGATGGTTAGCCCGGTCAAACCATCTTGAGCCGAGGTATTTTTGGCCTCTATTTAGGACCTTGCTGTTGAGTAGCTCGGTCGAAGTACGCTATGGTTACCACGGTCTACAAGCAAAGCCGAGGTACATGTTACGCATAAAGCGCCGGGATAAATAGCTCGGTTACATTGTCACTGTGTCATGACAATGCTAGCTCGGTTGTTGAGCTAGGACCATCTCACTTGGTTTAAGAAGTGAGGGGGGTGTTGAAGGATAGGCATTATCTTTCAGGAGTATGATTCCTAGGAGAACTCTGCATGGAGGAATAAGAGTCCTACTAGGATTGTGCCACGCGGAACCTATAAAAGCTCATACCATCACCTATGGAGAGGTAACACACAACTTTGATTCCCGAATACACAGAGCTTTTTGTCTATTTGTCTATTTTGCTAACTTAGGCATCGGAGAGGTATCCGGCACACACCTGCCGGCTAGCTCACGTTTGTATTTTCAGGGAGTAAAGCGACGACGTTTGGAGGAGCGCAGACTTGATCAACAGGATTATACGAGAAGATTATTTCTTGCTCGTACATTTATCAAGCTTAGGTCACTAATTAAATGAGCTCAAAATTTTTGTACGGGATTGGCTTGATATATATTCTTTGAGTTGAGCTCAAACAAGTGAAAACTGAGTTGAACTCGAGCTTCTCTTGAGCAGATTGGTTTGTTTTGCACCCTTGGCAAAAAAAAAAAAAAAAAAAAAAAAGAAGAACAAGAAGATAAATGATAATAGTAAATCAACAAAGTAGAGAATGCAATTTTAATCACATTACCTAATTTGACTAGATTGATGTGGGCTAGTGTAATAAAATAGAGATATGAATCTTTGTAATTTGACTAACCAAATGACCTTTGATAGAGTCGAGTGGAGAAGAAGAATTCATGTAGCCAACCCTATTTTATGGGACTTAAGGCTTGGATTGGTTTGATAAAATACTAAGTTGTTTAAATATTAGAAAATTAATTCTTAATTAATTCAAATAAGATGAATATTTTGATTTTAATATAAAATTAATGAAAAACAATTATTAAACAAAAAGAAAGATTGAGATGGAATTGAAATAGAAAATAGTTTGAATTTCGAATCACTTCTAATCTCATAACAAGTAATTACTATATTAAATTCCAATAAATCAATGATTCAGATAGCATTGATGTATCGTGGCTAGAAGTCCCAATATCATTGTCAAGGGGATGAGTATAATCAAATCGCAGGCATGAATTATCTTCGGTCGGCATGAATCTCCTACACTAAACTAAGATTGCAGCATGACTCGTCTCCCCTAAGTATGACTCATCTCACGATTTGTATATACAAGCAACCAAAATAGTTGTATGATCATGCATTCTCAATCACAAAAATCAAATACATAAATCGAATGAAAATGTTTCTTGAACAAAAGATATTTAACAATCATACAACGATTATCTAAATTTGAAGAAACAACTAAAATCACAATACATTAATACAAGTTATTTAATTAGGGCTTTTATCTCAATCCCCAAAGGGTGTGTTTGATTGGACGGACTGGATAAGGGGGGATTAGAATCCATCAGACTTGAGTCCTGGGACTGTGAATCCCTCGGACTATTTGGTTGGATTGGATATGTGTTCTGTGTTTGTTTTTTCATGGGATTAGATATCTAGAAATAACTATTTTTAGTGAATCCAACGTTTGGTTGGACGAATTGGATATGATAAATGAAAAAAAGACTATTTTACCATTTTTTAATTGTTTACTAAGTAATAGCAATATTAAACATATAAAGATATTTTAATTATTTTTAGCTAGATTAAATAAAAATTTATTTTATTTTATTTTTTACACAATTAAATAAATTTATTTTTTTTAAATTAAATAAATAAATAAATAAAATATCAATAAAAATTTATATTATTTTTTTAATACAAATTTTAAATAAATTTGTTTTTTAAAATAATAATAATTAAACAATGAAATTAAATAAAACATCTATTAACATTTAAATAATGAAATTAGATAAAATATAAACAAAATTTTAAAATAAAATATCAATAAAATATCTATAAAAAATTATTTAAAAATAAATAAATAAAACATCAATAAAAAGTTAAATAAAATTATTTTATTTTTAAATTGAGACATTTAAATTTTATTGAATTTTACTAAATATAATACATAATTAAATAGTAGAGGGTCAAAATGGTCATTTCACTACCTAATCCCAACAGTAAATAATCCCTCCAAAATTATCCCACACTCCCCCCTAGGATAGTATAATCCCCCATATAGGGGATAAGGAGTCCGACCGGACTCCATGTCTGGCGGACTAAAAAAAAAACAAACATCGGATTGGATTTACTATGCGGATTACAATCCGCACAGTAAATAATCTCCCCCTTATCCCCCCAATCAAACACACCCAAAAAGAAGATTAGTTGCCCATGGAGAAGGTGAAGAACAACATACGTATGGAGAACTCCATCCTTAGAAACTTGGGTTTTCTCTCTCTTGCCTCTTGTGTCTCCTTTTGATATCTCCGGAATAAGATCCTATTTTATGAAGGCTAGGTCATCCCTTTACACTCCCATAACTATTAGGGTTGGAGGGGGCTTAAAAAGAGTCAAAATATATTTTTTATCACAAAAACCCCTATATGCACAATACACAAACTTATTAAAATCATTAAATAATAATTTATATAGACTTAGGTAATGTAGTATTTTTTTTTTTAGAAGGGTACTTAACTAGTGTAGTTTAAGGAATCTCAATGTATATATTTTGGCACTTATCACTATGAAAAGCCTGTTCGGTATTATTTTGGTTTTTGTAGTTTAAGCAAAAATAATGGTTTTTGTATTCATCACTTCATATGATTTTCATTTAGAGATAGAGGGTTAGTGTTTGAGAGGTACAATACAACAATTAGTTATTGAAGTGCTAATCAGTTGCTTCAATCGTTGAGAAGAGATGAATTGTGGTGAAGGAGGGATGGTGTGAGAGCACTTGCAATTTTTCAAATTAAATGGAAAATTTTGTTTTTTTAATAAACTTTAGGAGTGTACTTTAATTTTAAACTGAAGTTATTATAAAGTAGATTTTAAGTTGATCCCTTAGAATAAATACTTAACCAATTTTGTTAAAAAAAGTATGATAATAATGTCTCACAATATACATGTTCAGAGAGCTTGAAAGTATTATACATTTTTTTGTGGTCCATCAAAGAACTTCATTAAAAAGAAAAAGAACATTTAAATGTAGATCTACTTTTGTTTTTGATGTTCAGACTTCTAACATTTCACTAATCATATAATGTACTTCAGTTTGTAGTGTAATTAAAACTTCATTATTGTATTAATTCAACAGTTCCAATGTTCACTTCAATTCATAACTAAGCCTAACAGTGTGACCAACAAAAACATGGAAGAAACAAGAAAGCTTCCCATCACTATCTTCTTCGTCTCTCCTAGATTTGCTTGCATCATCGATAACTTTGATATTAAGAAGTCATAATCATAATCATCACTATTTACAAACCTTAGCCTCTCAACAACTTCATTTGCAGGAGTAATAGCTTCTCCGTTTGGCATCCATGTTACACCATGCGCAAAAACTACAGCCTTCATTCTCACCACGACATCCGTAATACAATTGTCCATTTGATGCCCTTTCAAACTCTTACCACTTTGATTGTTGCCTGTCTCCCACATCCACATATTCTTGTATCGAGCCTTAGGTCAAGTGTTTCCCACCGCCCATGTTGCTTAAAGAAGAGATTACCGTTTGCCTGCATTGAAAACCAACTTTGTAAGTAAATCAAAATTAAGCATAGAAACAATTAAAAAAAAAAAATGAAATACAGAAGGACCTCGATGATCAAAATTCAACATAAAATATACATATATATATATATATATATATTTTTAAAAAAAGAATCAGTAGAATACCAAGGTTTGTTCTTCCTTTCTTCCAACTTCTCACAATTCTTTTTATCACGCCACTTTTGGAGGGAAAAGCTTATTTCCATACATCATGAGCACATAAGACACATTCTGTCAGTTTGTGTGAAAAATGTAACACGGTAACACTTTAGTCAAAACCATATAACAAAAAATTACTATTTTTAAAAGACGTTAGCAAAGTACTCCTAGTCCATATCACTAGGGGTAAAATAGATTTTGTCAATTTATTTTTCTATTTATATTGTCCATTTCCTTCACAAGCAAATCTCTGTATAATTTATGAAAGATACAGAAAATGTAGCAAAAATCACCACCATCCCCACAAAAAGGAAGAGACGACTAAAAAAAAGGGAATGAGAATTGCATTATACATATCAAACTATGGAAGAGACGACTAAAAAAAAGGGAATGAGAATTGCATTATACATATCAAACTATGGTACAGTGGATTTATGACTTACAAGCCTAGTCCTCTGGAGTGTACAAGGTTCACTCCCTCGGAACAATCAATTACAGTCCAGAATAATGACTAGAAATTACTAGCCCATGTCCTCCCTATATGTACCCTAAGCGTCAATACAATGTAATCTCAATCAGAGATTAGCAAAACTATCAACTTATGAAATTTTGGGCACTACATAATACTACAATACAACTATACCTGAATTGAGGTTTGAGCAATGAAATTACATAAGTTAGATGGGAAAAACTAGACCAGATACTTCATAGCATCTACTGCTTTTCATCAAGGATGCATGGATGTGCATTCCAAAAGCTCTGCTCAATTATATTACAGTGTTCCACAACAACTTTTTTCTGCAATTTCACGCAAGGACCATTATTGTACGTCACAGCCTCATCTCCCTGCATACAAAATGAAATTCTCAGCTCTACAGAGTTGTAAAGTAGTTAACGGAGACAGCCAAGCTAGGAGATTCTCTCCACTTGGTCCCATTTCAAAGCTTGGTTTGTATTGGCCAAAAACATTTTCCATTCTTTGGTTGCAATCTTGAAACTAATGTGTTTGTGGTGATGTTGGTATGGTGGTAATGGCGCCAGTGGGCTGGTGGTGCGCTGGTAGTACAGTGGTGTTGAGACTGTCCAGAAAACATTTTCCACCTTTGAGAAGTAGATAAATAAGCTTATTTTCCATTGACCATGACCTTGTGGCCTAGTGGCAAGGAGGTAGCACTTTGGTGCTTGCAAAGGTGAGGTGAGGGATTGAAACAACTTTTTGGATTTTGCAGAGCATTTGGATTAGTTTGATGCATAGAAGTTATGCTTTTTGCTTTGTACACATGAGTGGCACCCCCTTCATGCCTCTTTTTGAATACAATACACTTTTTACACATAAAATTCAAATAAAAAAAAAAATTCAAATCTAGAAGTAAGCAGGTGGGCAACATTGACCTTGGCATTGGATTGATGATGTACAACATGCAAATCTATCAAATGAGGAAATTGTAAAAACCTTATTCACAGAAAGAGAGAGAGACCTTGTCCCAGAAAACAGATGATCCTTGACGGAACATGACTGGTAATTTTTGGTAGTCAATACCAAATTGCTGGACAAGCAAATTATTTTTCTCTTGCGCTTGAGTATCCTGTGGATTAATTAGAAAAATCCAGGGTTAAGTGCACTTCATTTTTCATGCCATTTGTTCACTGATTCTACACCAGTACTGTTATACAAGCATACTTCTGCTTACTAAACCATTAATTTTGCATGGACAAAGCTACAACTTACATGAATGCTTCTAATATCATGTATAATATAAGTGGCATGACACGGTATCAAGGTAATCTAGATTTTTAGGAGATCCATACTAAATTACAATCTATTTTTTATTTATTTATTTATTTTTTGCCAAGGGTGCAAAACAAACCAATCTGCTCAAGAGAAGCTCGAGTTCAACTCAGTTTTCACTTGTTTGAGCTCAACTCAAAGAGTATATCAAGCCAATCCCGCACAAAAATTTTGAGCTTGTTTAACTGGCGACCTGAGCTTGATAACCATGAAGTTTGGCTCAAACATTCACAAACTTGGTGGATTAGTACATAAAGTACACCAATGGAAATACCTATTTCATTAAAAAAACACTCCAGTCAGATTAGAAAAAATAAAAAATGATTTTGTAGTCAGGCTGTCACCTACAAGCAGCTTCTATAAACTTTGTACTGAATGAAACAAAAGCTACAAGACACCAAACTGATGATGAGAATTTCGCTTGCACTTAAAAAAATGTATGAAGTTGTTTGGACTCCAATTTACTTGGCTTATTTTTCACCCTAATTTTTTGCTTCTCTTCCCCTCACTCCCTTTTTTGGTGAGCAGGCACATGACCATTTATTTGGGGGGTTTTGGGGCTTCAGAGTAAATTGTAAGAAATACAGATAGAAGAGAACAAGGCAAACAAATTGCTTTTTATGCTGATGTGTGCCTATTAAGTTAAATTACACTTGTTTCTGGACAAGCAAGTAGGCATGGATTCTTCATAGAAAAATCTATAAACCCTGCTAAGATTTAACAATGACTATGCAAACAGAATACCAAAAACACATAATTTCTTCATACCAGCTGTTCACTACACCATATGCAAAAAAAAGTGATTCATATAAATAAGCACAAAGACGGGTGTGTATTAGCTTATGTGGATCCTAACTGCAAGATGCCAAAATAAGAGTCCTAGACTTTGCTCCTAAAATTCCAATAGAATTCCTATATAAATCTAATACTACTGTCTGCATCATTGGTTCGAATATGATGAACCTAAAGCCCTAAGAAGCACAGATACAAACACAATACGGATATCCTGGAGAGAGCAATTCTCAAAAGAGTAGAACGCAGATATATCAGGATACAACAAGGCTCACCTTCCATGGTTTTCTATCCTAGTAGTTGAACAAAAGAACAGAATGTGGCCAAGTGGCCATTTGACCAATTCACAGGTCTGACTACATGGTTCAGTTTAATTCTCATATTGTTGGTATTAGTGGATGCAAAGGGGGAAGCATTGGCATCCCCAGTGCACACAGGACAAGCACAAGCTTGGACATTTTCATCTTTTCGTTTTCCTTTACGTGTAATGAGGATGGTTTCTTTTGGTTGTTGGGGGAAGGGAATCCCATGAAACTCAACAAGCATGTTGGTTTATTAGAAACAAGAAATCTCTGTGATTACTACAATGCTAAGAATGTAGAAACAAGGCTATCTTCAGAATTCAAAACAACTTTAGACAGTGATTAAAAAAAAAAAAAAAGATTGAATCCTTAGCTAACATAATTAAATTCAAACAGAACTTAGCACCTTTAAGGAGTCCTGAGCTTCCCTTTTGCTTTTGCCGGACTTGACAAGCATCCAGAAACAAGTATTGTACTGATTGTTAATGTGGCCTGTAATGTAAAAGAAGAGATGGAAGTGGTGAGTTTACAAGGAAGTCCACATGAAAAACATATTTTAGGAACGAAATGTCATAAAATTTATCAGTTTAATTTTTAGAGATTAAAATTAAGAAATCGATACTCAAAAAAATCAAATTAAGAAAAAGTACTCACAATCAACTTGTCTCCATGCTAGATAATCTTGAAGTATCACTGTTGATGGATAGCATACCGCTCGTCCATCAAAATATGGATGGTACTTCAACTCTTTTTGAGGGAAGAAATCTTTCCACTTCATTACATACATGGAAGAGAAAAATGATACAATGACAGACACAATGCCACTGCAAAGGTGATTGAGGCAGTAAGTCCACATTGAATAAAGTAGTTTAATCTCATTAATTTCAATTGAAACTTGTGAAAGTCATACATGGGCATAGGACAAAAGGGTTGTGTTTAACACACTTCTGAGCACTCGTTCATAACTTTTTTGTGGAGTGTAACATGAGAGGTTGGCTAAGAAGTGCCCTCCAAGAAGATGGCATGCTATGGTATTGATTGGAGACCACCGGCTATGTTAACAGACTTGGATATGAGTATTGGGTGTGAGTGCATGTTCAAGTTTCAGACGTTCCTAAACCTAAATCTTAGGATATCAAGATATGTATCCAAAAGTTGAATAAGTACAAGGACATGTCTTGAACATTAGTATATATTGCATAGCATATAATATTCTTAGACAATATAATGTAAATTATTTAGAAACGTACCTGAATTTAAATAAGATTTTGAAAAAATATGAAATTTCTATCACCCATCCATGTAAGAGACAATATGCAACACCCTATGTGTTATTGCATGACATGCATATTTTCTTTTGATAATTGAATGCTTAAAGTTGAATTGGCTTCCTTTGTTTTATGAAAAGCAAGGAAACAAGCTTTATTAATTATCTTGAGAAAAATATTTATTGCTTGCTATGTTCATAGTTTTGAATAGTTTATCTGCTTCCTTGATATGACATGAGAGGAAACTTAAAGAAAGGCTCTCATTTTGTATGTGGTAACATGTTTATATTTCCTTAATCAACGTACTTAAATTGTCATAGTCTAATGTGCTTGGCATTTTTATGCATTGTGTGAAAAACTTAATTAGGATTAGCGGAAATGAAGTATGATTAGTGAACTTAGTATAATTAGTAATTGGTATTAACCTTGATCAATTAAGCTAATTATGTGATTACTTGGATGGAAGTAGGCACACACCTCACTTAAGAGGGAAGCACCTCCTACCTGAAGGAGTTATCTATAAGAGAGACAAGTGTCTTTCATACAAATAAAATAAAATAAAAACAAAGAGAAATTCTGTCGGAAAAAAGAGCGAAGAAGGGAGAAAAGAGAAGAGAAGTAGGAAAAAAAAGGGGGTACAAAATGATTTTTCATTCCTACTTGCTTCTAACTTGAATTTTAGGTAAGATTTACGTTTCTACGACCAATTATGATTGCAAATTAATTGGCTAATTTTATCTTGAGTATGAATTTATGATGGTTCATTCATTGAAAGAGTAAGGGATAGAGATTTGAATCCTATTGAATTCAAGTTATTGATTGAGGCTAAACCCTAAATTTTGCATGAAATGGAAACCATAGCGTTATCTTCATTTTCTTTGGCCTTAGAATGCGTAATTGCATGATTTAAGACCTGATTAGAGAATCATATTCACCACTTATACAAGACCTATAACCCTTGAAGAAGAGCTGTCCTAATTTCTTATATTTTGATTTGTATACCAATAAGTATTGTTTGTTGTAGTTATGTAGGTTGATTTACTAGTGGATTGACACACTTTCATGATGGAGTTTGAGGTGAGTGATGATATATCTTAGTTTGTTTTTAGTAAAACTTTTGGAACTTAAATTCATGATATATTCTTTGAAGGTGAAAATATTTTATCACTCAAGAACACGTTGCTATGTTCAATGTATAAAGATGACATCCATGGTTTTGATCCCATATACTATAGGGATGTAATATACTAAAATAATTTTGTAATTAAGACCTCTTACGACGTATGGTGGTTTTGATATAGTTAGCCTAGAGTTGACCCAATTATGTTTATCTGTGGGATAATCAAGTAACATAACCCGGAGTTGGACAGAAGAGACCCAAGGCAATCTTAGTAGAGAGAGGGTGGCAGTGTAGAGTTGGAGAGCAAGATAGATGGTGATGCATGGCGTACATGGAGACCCACTTTATGCAGAGGCAATTCCAAAAATTTTGGTTATGGTAGACAATAAAAAAATATCATTGTTATAGTGATCAAATTTGGATACTGAAAGTTGGGTACCGTCGAAGGTATATAAATGCACTAGAAAGGGACATGAAACATGAGACTCTTTAAACTAGTGGATTAATGATACATAATATAGTGTCCAACTTTTAGTACCTAAATTTAGTCACCATGAGAGATTTTAAGGTGTAGATAAGGAAGAGAGACGACAAATATAGTGAGGGTATTCATGTCTTTTTGCATAAGTATATGAGGGTAATACCGTAAATTTAATTTTTCTGCTCCTCCCATTGAAAGACAAACACTGATAAGGGGATCAATGTAATTTCCAGAATGTGAGGGAGGAATCTATATTAAAGAGAAACATGGCCTAAATAATTGAAATCCTAGTCACTGTCTTGGTGAAAAACCACTTTTAGAAGTTTCCCATGCAAGTTTTGGAGAAGGTAATCTCATGCTAGCAGTTAGCTCTGTCAAATCAGCATAACTTTCACATATCAAGGCTACTCTTTAGACAGATACAAAAGGTGTTTGAATTTAACAGGAATGTTCACTGCCTGTTCACAAAATCATAACCATAAATCATCCAAGAGATCTCAATCCTAGAAAACTTCATGCAAGTCATTCAAAACTTTCCTCTAAGTGCGCAGTATCATGTGAATAAAAGAAAATGACAGAAGAGAAACCTGGCATGCCTCTGATAGAATTGAGAATCCTTCTTCAAAACAAAGCTGAAAGTCAAAATTTTAACATAAAAAACATGTACGGGCAGAATTATAAGGTTCAGCTCAAAAGCATACTAAAATGAATTTGGAACCTGTACTCATCACTAACACCATATGAAAAGACTATATCCTGAAACTCTTCAAGCACTGCCACTGCACATGAATTCATAAGGTTTAAAGCTTGGCCATCGTTTGGTTTCTCAAATTCATGACCTTCAGAAAATCTAGCAAAAGTCATAAAACTGAACTGTTGAGTTCTATGAGCAACATTTTAGTACAGCAACCAAGCAACAAAATTCCATGAATCACTGATTTGACAACAATTGACACCAGCATAGTATCACAACCTTATTTTGTGGAGCTGGGACAAAATTGCACTGTTCATCACTAATCTCATTTGTGTGCGCACGTGTGTTTTCTATTAATAATCTCAATAATACTAAAATTGTTCACACTCATTCATTCTTAGCTGTGAAACTTAATGTTCAACAACCAAAAAATCCAAATATTAAAGATTCATGCTCCAATACACAAGCCTTGGGTGACATGAGCTTTTCTGCTGACTTTTAGGTTTGAGAAGGCAAAGGTGATCACTGACCACTGGATGGGTAACATACAGAACAATCCTTGACAAGTATAAACCCAACCAGAGTAAGTCCACTTCGTAAATTGAAAAACATTAGGAATGTGTAGCACATACATTTTCCTAACATTCAATGAGCATATTTTTTTCTTTAAAATAAAACCAATCTACGGAGTAGCAGTCAGGATCAATTCATATTTCTAAGGGGAACTCATTAAACTATGGGTCTGACTTCTTTAGAATAGAAGTTCAGTGAGTAAGCCAAAGCAACATAAAATCATATTGCTAAACATGCATATATTTACCTGTGAAAGTGACAACCATCAATTCTAACTACAATCCAAGTAGAAGGCATCAACTTGTGTTCAAATTGGAAAGCCTTGATATACTCAGGTTTAATTTTGTTAATGTCATCTTCAAAACTACCCACATCTTTCAGTAGATACGAGTGCCCATTCCAAAAGCTTCTTGAGGCTATACTTTCTGAATGGACGACTATCACCTTCCTCCGCAGTCTTTTAATAGGAGTGCCATCATCATTGTACTTAACAATATCTTCCATCTGAAAAAGGTTTTAAGAGGTTTTAGCTTGACAAGTTAGACATTGTATGCAAGGGAATGCAAGGAAAGCAACAAAGATTCTGAAGACCAAAATTTATGTTATGGTCATAGTAAATATGAATCTAGGTGAACCCAAATGCATTCCTGTATCTGTAGGCAAAGTTAAGGGTGGTTAAAGCCAAGTTGGCGGCAAATCCCAAGCTAACATCACTATCATGGTGGTACTTTTTCTTTTCTTCTTTTTTTATCCGAACCCAAGTGGACTATTATCCATTGAACCATTAATCATGTACATTTTGGGTCCCAAAAACTTAAAAGACTATTATTGAGTAACAATGTACAAATTTTCTCTAGTTCCTTGATTAAATTCTGGTTAATCCTAAGACAGGTTTATAAATATCTATATATATTATCATAATTACAGATGTACTAAAATAAATAAAGGCAAAAAAATGAAATAAATAGGTAACTTAAACAAGAGTTTTCCCAACAAAGATCAATACACACCATAGTCTTCTATTCATTTGTGGGTTCATTTCACTCCCAACTAACATACTCATTTTCAATTTAAAAAATTTAGCCCTTAAATATTTCAACACTAGAAATTCAATACTTCATTTTTTAATTTTATCAAAACAGGCCCCAAGTCAAATCAAAATCTTCTACCAAAGTATCACAATTCAAAGGTCATAAAACCTACAAGACACCGAGACTCAAACCTTGGCTACTCTGATTAATTGAATTCAATTCATTTAAGAGAATGGAGGAAATGAATAAAAGAAGGAGAAGAAGAAGAGATGGGGCAACCTCTGTCTTGAGAACACATGATCCTTGACGGAACATGTTAGGAAGTTTTTTGTAGTTGATACCAAACCGTTGGAAAAGTAGCTCATGTTTATGTTGTTTATGAGGAAACTGGTCCTGCAGAAATGACGGATACAACATAAGTAGAAAGAAAGCATTTGATATAAGATTAGTGTGCCTAAGCCAGAAATAAAAATTATGTATTTAAAATTGAAAGTAATTAAGGGTAATAGGAGCACATCTGGAGTTAAAAATAGGGGAATTGGTTTATATCTATTCTTACGCTGTTCAAGTACAGATAAGACCACGCATAAATGGTATGCAAGAACAAAACAGACGCAGGTCAGACATTGAAGAACAGATTCCCAAGATAATTCCTCTTGCATAACAAATTTTATAGCAGTTCTGAAACTCAACCAACCAATTAGGAATTGTCCCCAAGCAACACCATTCACATCTAAATTATATCTTACCAAGTTACCATCCATGATGACTATAGCATAGACATCTAATCTATTTGGTTACAGTTCCAGTGCAACGAGCGTAAGATAGTGGATTGTCTCTTGAACCTCAGAAATCGAATTCAAATAAATAAGGTATGGGAGGGTCATAGACTGATATGTCAAGCTAAACTCTGCGGCTACACAAGGTTTTGGGAAGATAATGTTTCACTTATATATCTTGTATTAGCAATTGGTGTTGTTATCAACTTATCAGTAAATTCATACTACAGAGGTCTCCCCCTTCCTTTAATCAATTCTAATATTGAAGAACTTCTTAGCATCAAAAGTGCATATAAGCAAGCTACTATTTCAAAGAACCAACAAAGCTAGCAAATCTTGTGCCTTGGTAGGGTACACAATAGGAAACTGGAAGGGCCAAACACAAATGCCTCAGGATCTCAAATGTTCAAGATCTATAGCACCACTGCTCAGGGCTTTTCACATCCAATAAACGTACATATTGATATATATATATATTATAATATTATATATATGTAGCACCCTTCTAAAGTCCTTGTAGAACTTGAACAACAAAAAAACATGACTTCGACCAAATATCCTTTAAACTAGAAAATCCTTTTATTTCTTTGCTTCCAAAAGCACAATAACAGCGACGCAAGTTCTATGTTTACACTATGGTCATCTGATCCTAAATAACTTTCTGGCTGAATACTTGAACAAATCGATATATAAAGAAATATCACTTGGGACTAAACAAGAATGATAATTTAACAAATCCGATACTACCAGTACAAAACATATAACCCACATCAGGGGGCACTATATGAAAACAAACTATTAAGTTGACTAAATAAACCATGTAAGAACCTCCAAAAATTTTCGTGCTTCCCTTTCAGTATCTCCATTTTTAATCAGCATCCAAAGACAAGTATTGTACAGGTTTTTGACATGACCTGTAAAATGATAATGTAAAAGTTTCAATCCAATTATTTTAAAAAACCTTGTACATCATCTTCTATTTATACACCCCATGGAATCCATATCAATATAACAGGTTTAAAATATAGAATTACTCAAGAGCAGTTTATCAAGTGGCTTTGTTCCACTGGCAACAGCTTACAGTCATTTTGTCTCCATGCAAGACATGCTTGTAGAACCTCCATTGATGCACAGACTATAACCCGAGATTGAAATGAAGGGGGAAACCTTAACTCCGTATGAGGAAAATATTCTTTCCATTTTGTGACATACGTAGATGTGAAGAAAGAAACAACAAGGGATAGTATTTTGCTGCAAAATCAATTTCATGAGTGAGCTAATAACAAATATCTCATCTAAAAGAGGAAATAATTTAGAACAATCTCATTCGATGATGAGCATCATCATGTAAATGTTGCACACTAGGAGTGGGAACCATGAAAAAGTGGTCAATACACTGGGTTCAAGACCTGTCCAGGCCCAGCCTGAGTAGCACTCAACACTGCCCAAGCTCAATAAATTTAGCTCAGATTGCCTACAAAAGATTGGATCAGACTATTGAGCTTAATTTTTTAGAGGGCAAGAAATCTAGAAGTAATTTTTTTAGGTTGTTTATAACCTGTTATACCATGTTTATAAACCTGTTCATAAATCACAATATATATATATATTGGATAAATCTGTTCATAAATCCACAATCTTAAAAAATAAAAATAAAAAATAAATCGCAACAAAATCACAAAAGAAATTATTCACAGACATCCCACTATCTTTCTCTTCATAAAAAAACATGTTTATGAGCTGTTCATAAGAGTCAAACAACAAACCACCCCAATTCAGTTAGTATATTGTGTTTGATTAATCCAATGGCTAGGGTGAAATTTCATAGATCCAATGGTCAAAATAGGTCATATCATATGTATTGTACATATGAAATACAATATATAATTATATACAAAGAAGTTGGGCTTGGGTTGAGAGTCCCCTCTGCCTACGCCCAGTCCAAATTTTAATTTGGTTTGGAAATTTTAGCCTAGGCCTAGTCTTGTGTTCCAATATTATTGGCCAAGCCATAAAATTTGCAGGGTTGGACTCAAGTTGCTCGGATTAGGCTGCCCAAGGTGCACCTTATGTTACATCATGAAAATAATATTTAAATTTTAATCCATGTAAAGTCAATATTTTTACATAAGCAATGCAATTGAGAATTTAGTCCACATGCCCTGACATAAGTTCTAGTGAATTTAGTCCACAAGGCATCAAATAAGTTGTAGCGCGGTACATAACAAATCCATGTTGAACACCAACATGACAAGCATTTAACTTTCACAATCATCAAAAACAAATAAACACCATTATATCAAGAGGCTAAGAAATCAGAAGTACCTTGCACGCCTTTGGTAAAACTTGGTCTCCTTTTTGAAAACAAAGCTGTAAGTCATATCCCCAACATTAAACAAAATCTCATATACCCAAGAATGATAGTAAAATGATAATAAGCATCATGCAAAGATGATGAATAAACAAGGGTGATACCTGTACTCATCATTGAATCCATATGAGAAGACTACATCTGGAAACTCCTCTAAAACAGCAATTGCACAAGAGTTCATCAAATTCAAAGCTTTCTCATCATTTGGTTTCTCAAAGTCATGAATATCAGAAAATCTACAAGGAAAAAAAAAAAAAATTAAATAATAACAAAGTTCTTGATATAGCACTATCGCTTAAAACCTAACAATTAAACTTCAATTTAACAAAGCTTTAATACAAAACATGACTACATGATCCAAAAGTAAATTGGCTAATATAATGGTTACACCACAACATGCAGCGATAGTGCACCTATATGAGTACATGTCCACATATACTCATATAAGATAAGTAAATTGGCTAATATAATGGTTACACCAAAACAAAGTTTTAAAAAAATTTCTGTATGCCAATTTTGATACCTTTAATTTTTTATTTTACCCTATTTCAATTTTTAAAATCTTCATATAATTACAGTAAGATAAAAAAAAAAAGTGAGTACTTCCACCCTTTGTCCTGCACCTATATGAGTACATGTCCACATATGGAGTCACTAATGCAGAAATTTCGATGCAACCGAATCACGAAAACTTAAACTTGTCACCATTTCAACACGAAACAGTATATGGGTAGTCAAAAAATCAGATATGCATGCAGGATGCATTTAGATCGCAAGGAGCACAACTTGGAGAGAAAAAAATTATGCGGCATTTGTAGTCCAAGCATAAAAGACGTTGTTTGTAACACTTGCTTTATTATACCATGGTGTAAACATATAAAGAATCTCATTTTCAATCTTTTCTTCCCCAGAGAAACTTCTAGTCAACCTTTTTACAGTAATATTTGTTATTCACAATAAATAAATAAACCCGTCTTCAATAGAAATCGATGTCATTTTGTCTGTTTGAATGTGTTTTCATTTTTGAAGTTGGAAATCACCCATTGTTTTCTTCTTTTATTTTTTGCCGTGGATTGTTTTGAGAAAATTTTCTTGACAACAGTTTTGGGGAACCGTTTGTACTGTTTTCCAGAATCACCAGCCAGATATTTGTTTGTTTTCTAAATTTCAAAAAAAGTAAAGCAGAAAACCAATATATATATATATATATATATAAAACCAGAAAATAGAGATTGGGTTGTTTTTGGTTACCTGCGAAAATCGCGGCCGTCGATTAGAACAAGGATCAAATTAGGCAGCATAACTTGGTCTTCTATTTCGAATGATTTCACGTACTCGTATTTGCTGTTTGCCATATCATCAACCACAACAATAAAACTTGTCCTTTTTATCTATCTCTTCGCTTCTCGCTTCTCGCTTCTCACAGAATAACCAACAAACACTTGGTAGGCGTAGGCGTAGGCGTAGGCATAGGCGTAACAAGTGAGTGATTTCGAAGAGTTTCACTTTTAGGAGTATGATTTTTTCTTCCTAACAAATCCCCAAACATTCACTTGCTTAAAATATAATATGGTGAATATTTTTTACCATACACAGCTCTGGAGATGAATGGCGGAGGAGCAGCGGAGCAGTGGCGGCGAGATCAAGGGCAATTCTGGAGATGGAGATCTGGATCCACGAGAGAGCATCGGCGTAGAGACAGAGAGAGAGAGACAGATAAAATTAAAAAAAATAGGAGACACGGGTTCATCCAACCTAATGCAACAATATAAAATTTAAGTTTTTAAATTCAAAATTTACTTATGTTCTGTATAATAATTGCAGTGCAACCCATAAGTTTGTTGTTTTAGGCACAGTTTATTTTCAGTGGTAGAATTGAGGGGATTGATAGTGAAAAGATTAATAATGAATAAATTGTTAGCGAGGAAATTAAGTAAAATTGTGTTTGTTTTGATGATAATTGTTAGGATAAGAATTATTAAATTATTTTTATATAAAATAATAAAACAAATACAAAAACATTAAACATTAATGTTTTTAAAAAAATGTCCAATATGTAAAAAATTTAAAAAAAATAAAAAATTTTTTGAAAAAATAAAACAAATAAAATAATGATTTTTACTTAACAAAAAATATAAAAAATTAAACATTAATGTTCAAAAAAAATGCCCAACATGTAAAAAATAAAATAAAATAAAAAAATTTCTAATCCAGCGGACTATTTTTCTAATACCAAATCTTGGAGGCCCATCCGAATCCCCTTGGGAAGGCCCATCATAATCCAGAATTCACTATCAATCTCCTCTCTATCTCTCAAAACAAACACAATGTTAGTGAATCTCACCTCACTATCAATTTCAATCCCCCCTCTAACTCTCCAAACAAAATTATAGGGGCTGGTGGAAGCAAATTAACAAAATATATCGTCCAATGAGTTATGCAGACGTATATGAGACGAAAAGAACTTTGCAAATTTATAAACATATATTATCGTATCATCATTACATCATCAATACATCATTCTCATAATTCAGTCAGATCAGAAGGGAATTTAACCCTTTCGTACAAAAGCTTTGTTCAACCTTCAAACATCTTAATCACAAAAAGAAAAACAAGGATTTAAAACTTGAACACCAAAAGTCCTTATCACACGGTATTTTCGAAACCTCCATGGTAAGGCAAAAAGGCTCGCTAACAAAATAGAATCCAGACTAGTGCATCTAAGCCTGGTCACATGCTTGGTCACTTACATGTATAAATATAAAGGTGAATTGGAGCCTAGTGAATAACAACAGAGTAAAGGGTTAATGAATGATATCCCAATTATAAATTTAGAAATCAGAGTTTCAGATAATAACAGAATCATATTCATATTCAGACTTATAATCAGTCATACATGGTACATCCATTAGCTAACAGAGCATATGATCTTAAAAGACATGTTCAGATCAGACAAATAATTATGCATAATCCAGACAAATAACCATTAAGGTTTAACAGACAGTTTCAAGAGCTGGAACCCACAGAGATCTCTGATAACAGATAACAGATACAAATGCTAAGGATGCTACGATTACATTTAAGAAAATGAACAATAATTCATTCATTCATAAAATATCAGTTCTAAAACAGAATATAATTTGTAAATTAGAAAATACTTATAATCAAACATAATTTTACAGAATTGTTACTAACAGATGGCTCCTCAGACAGATTGGACAAATTGTTGCACGTGACCTATACAAACACATAACAGATTCGCATTGAAACACACATTCCCGAACGATGTTTATCTAATTCAATTCTCCTTAGTGTGTTTCTTACTCATTTCCTTATTAATGTTGTCTAAACATTGGCTTAAAAATGCCTATAATGAAATGATACACTTAGGAAGACATTTCAAAAATGCTGAAAACAAAGCAGTTCAACCGAGCGCACCTTTGGTCGCTCAAGCCAACTGCAACAGACTACAAAAATGCTGGAAGCTCTTAAAGTGCGCTTGAGTGACGGATTGCTCGCTCGAGCAGTGAGACAGAATTCTGAAAATTCCAGAATAGAGTTTAAGCTTCAAAATGCACAAATTCAAATCACAAACTTGCGTGTCTCACTCTCAACTTAGAAAAACATTTGGAAACTTTTTAAAACCATGAATTTAAGGTCAATTCTTAAATCAAAGCTCAAATCCATCTCAATTCTTCAAAATCAAGCTTTAAACTTCAAGTTTGCAACATGCATGAAATGAATTGAGCTTATTATTTTCCAAACATGAACAAGTGAAGTGTTAAGTTTAAAATCATGTTGAATTCTCAAAACTAAGAATAGGCTCATGCATGCAAAAATTCTTGGAAAATCAAACTCAAAATGAATGAATTATGCATGCATGTAAGCTAATCTTTCAATAAACTCATATTAAGCTTAATTCTTGTGTTTGTACACCTAATTCTCTTGAATTCACATACTAAATAACTCAAATTCAGAGATTAAGGGTTGTATTCTTACCTAAAGCTTTGAATTTGGAAGTGTAGAAGCTTAGTCTCTCAAATCTTTTTCAATTCTCCCATTTTTCCTTCACAATTCTCTCATTTTTCCTTCACAATTCTATCCTCTCCAAGCTTGATTTCAATCTCTCTCTCCCTCTCTCTCTATACGTTTGGAGCTCAAGATGATCAAGAAGATGAATTCATAAGTTCTTATTTGCGTTATATAGGCTAGATTAGTTTAAAGGTGATTAAAGCTAAGTAATCTAATTTACTTTTAATTAATTTATTCTAATTATTTGAAGTTCGAATCAATTTCTAATTAAACTTGTCATATGGTTCTAAAAATTCCGCTAATCCTATTGACCTAGTCAATTTTGATTCCTATTAAGGCCTTCAATTTTCATAACAAAGCAAAATTCTCAACGGTTAATCCTACGAGTAATAGATACAGTTTCAAATATCACACAAATCACACAATTAACACTTAAGTACTTAATTAACGTTCATAATTAATGATTAATAGCATATTACGGAATTGAGTTATTACAATGCCCGACAAAATGAATGATTTGGATTATCAAAACGAGACCCGTGGTAGACTCCACGGACCCGAACAACCTCCTCTAGTCCGAATTAAGGACTAGAAAGGTTCCAGGTCCTTACTTTTATACTTTTTACATAATTATATCAAAACTAATTAGTCCCCAATTCCATCACTACATCTCCTAATTAAGGTCTCCTAATTCCACCTCTACGAGTATGTCCAAGGGACTCTTTAAATGAGATAGGTTAACTATTATAGTTAGTATTATCATATTTTAGTCATTTCTATAGATGAACTATTATAATAGTTATTTTAATAATTTTGGAAGAGCTTTGAGACTCTTTAAACAATTTGATTGTAGTCAATACCATTTCAGGCATTATTAAACCTAACCAAAGCTATCACAATAGGTTGTACCAGTACCATTTTTGGATATTACAAAGAAAAATGTTATGAATCTCCCTAAAGTAGTCCAAATTTATTCCGAATAAGAGTTGTGTGTGTTGAGATTGGATTTGTGTAATGTGTAATCTATATGTAGAGTAAATATGAATCACAAAATGATAATTCTGAATAATTTTTGGGTAATTAATAATGAAACACATTGATAGTTTACACATTGAATAAATTTTCGCGTATTGACCTGTTTTTGATTTCAGAAGATTGGGAGGAGCATTTTTCTCGAGTGGTTCAGCAAAGATTGGAGCGTCCTGTCTCGGATCATTGGCTGGTGTTGTTGGATAGTGGTGAGATTTGGAGTGGACCGGTGCCATTTCGGTTTAAAAATATGTAGGCATAATTTGCAGGTTTTGTGGATGTAGTTCGATCGTGGTGGGTAGGTTATGATGTCATGAGAGATCCTAGTTGTAGATTGGCTCAGAAATTAAAACTTCTAAAGGCCGACCTGTGGAGGTGGAATAAGGAGGTGTTTGGCCAGTTAGACACTCAGAAGGCTAAGATTTTGGTTGTATTCCAAGAGTTGGATGCAAAGAAAATAGCGGATAGCTTGACTGATGAGGAGTTGGCGGTCCGTGAGGGGGTAAGATAAGAGTATGGCCAGGTGGCTCATATGGAGGAGGTTAGTTACCGCTAGTGTTCGCGATGTTTGTGGTTGGAAGATGGGAATCAGAATACAAAATATTTTCACCATATAGCGAATGCTCATCGTCAGGTCAATCAAATTGGGAAGTTGTGGGTTAATGGTGTGTTGTTATCGTCAGAGGAAGAGGTGAGAGAGGGCATAATGGGCTTTTAACAGCATTTGTTTCAGGGGGGAGGATGAGACTTGGAGGCCAAGGTTGGATGGTGTTCAGTTTGATGCTCTTTCAGAGGTGGATAGGCAGATGTTGGAGCGGCCATTTTCCAAGGAGGAGGTTTTCGAGGCTCTTCAAAAAATGTTTGGGGATAAGAGCCCAAGCCCGGATGGTTTTACTATGTTTTTCTTCTAGCGGTGTTGGGAAGTGGTAAAGACAGATGTCTTAGCCTTGTTTGGTCAGTTTTATCAGTCCAGGCAGTTTGAAAGGAGTCTTAATGCAACTTTCGTAGCGTTAATTCCTAAAAAGAGAGGGGCGGAGGATATAACGGATTTTCGACCCATCAACCTGTTGGGGAGTGTGTACAAGCTTCTGGCGAAAGTTTTGGCTAACAGGTTGTGAGGTGTCTTAAAGGGGCTGGTGTCTGAGTCCCAGAATGCCTTTGTGGGGGGGTGTCAGATTTTGGATGCTGTGTTGTTAGTAAATGAGTGTGTTGACTCGCGATTTTGGAAAGGGGGTGCTGGTCTTATTTGTAAGTTAGATATTGAGAAGGCATATGATAATGTGAATTGGCGGTTTTTGATGTATATATTGGAGCGAATGGGGTTTGGGGAACGGTGGAGGCAATGGATTCAGTTTTGTATATCGACGGTTAGGATGTCTGTCCTAGTGAACAAGACGCCAGTAGGATTTTTCCCGACTCATAGGGGTTTGCGGCAGGGTGACCCTTTGTCTCATTTATTGTTTATTTTAATTATGGAGGCTTTGGAGCAGTTATTATCTAATGTAGTTCGGATGGGTCTTTGACGGGCTTCGAGGTGGGTATGGAGTGGACTACTAGATTAGTGGTTTCTCACTTGTTTTACGCGGATGATGTTCTTATTTTTTGTCGTGAGAAGGAGAGTCAGGTTGGTTATTTGCGGTGTGTTCTTCTTTGTTTTGAGGCGATCTCGGGACTTCGGGTGAATTTGGGGAAGTCAGAGT